AAATGTTTCTCAGGATGTGAGCTGATAGTAGGCATTTTTTTCAGGGCATCCTGTTGCAGTTATTTGGTGGGACCCGTAAGGACTTCACTCAGACGGGCCGCGGCAACTTCCGCGCAGAGATCAACATCCTGCTTTGTGGCGATCCGGGTACCAGTAAATCCCAGCTGCTCCAGTACGTGTTTAATCTCGTTCCTCGCGGGCAGTACACGTCCGGGAAAGGATCCAGCGCCGTCGGCCTCACAGCCTATGTGATGAAGGACCCGGAAACCCGGCAGCTGGTTCTGCAGACCGGAGCGCTGGTGCTCAGTGACAACGGCATCTGCTGCATCGACGAGTTTGATAAGATGAGCGACAGCACGCGATCTGTCCTGCATGAAGTCATGGAGCAGCAAACGCTCTCTATTGCCAAGGTGAGGGCGATGCTTAAACAATAACGTGTGATTGAGTGAATGATTTTGTTAGGACAGATAATAACGTTTTTGTGTGTCATAGGCTGGGATCATTTGCCAACTTAATGCTCGGACATCCGTCCTCGCCGCAGCCAATCCGGTGGAGTCTCAGTGGAACCCCAAAAAGACGACTATAGAAAACATCCAGCTGCCTCACACACTTCTGTCCAGGTAAAAACAAAACAGTATTTACAACAGTTAATGTCCATAATGTTATGTATCAATTTCCGACAATTGAGTGGGATGTAAGGTAGGGAGAGAAATGTTTTATCCATCAAGATTAGATTTGATTGTGCTCTACATTCAAAATAAGTCTCTTGCTCACCAAAGCTGCATTTATTCGATCAAAATTTTGTATTTATTCCTGTGATCAAAGCTGAATTTTCAGCATCATTACTCTTCAGTCTTCAGTGTCACGTGATCCTTCAGTAATCACTCTAATATGATGATTTGCTGCTAAAGGAACATTTCTTAATATTATCAATGTTGAAACTCTCTTGTTCTTAGGTTTGATTTGATCTTCCTAATGCTGGACCCTCAGGACGAGGCGTATGACAGACGTCTCGCACACCATCTCGTGTCTCTGTATTATCAGAGTGAAGAGCAGATTGAAGAGGAGCATCTGGACATGGCCGTGCTGAAAGACTACATCGCCTTTGCTCGTACCACAGTGCATCCCCGACTCAACGAGGAAGCTAGTCAGGCCCTTATTGAGGTATATAAACACAATATAGGTCAAGGCACCTGCAGTAGTATAGTATTACATGTAATATTTAATAGTTTTTAATTTTGACCCTTGCAGGCCTATGTAGACATGCGTAAGATCGGCAGCGGTAGAGGTATGGTGTCCGCGTACCCCCGTCAGCTGGAGTCTCTCATCAGACTGTCTGAAGCGCACGCTAAAGTACGTTTCTCAAGCAAAGTAGAAACCATCGACGTGGAGGAAGCCAAGAGACTACACAGAGAGGCCCTGAAACAGTCCGCCACTGATCCCAGGACAGGATTCGTGGATATCTCCATCCTCACCACAGGTACGAGTTAGACAACTGCCTGTACCGGTCAGGTTGAGTCACATGGTCTCATCGTCTAGTCATACTTGTGCAGATATACCTGTATATAGGGCTGTCAAGCGATTCAAATTAGGGATGTCCCGATCCGATCACGCGATCGGAAATCGGGCCCGATCACGTGGTTTCAGACTCGATCGGAATCGGATGTTACCTCCCGATCAGGACTCGGATATATGTAAATTAGGGGTGTAACGGTACATGTATTCGTAATTATTGAACCATTTCGGAACGAGGGTTCCGGTTCGGTACGCATACAAACCGAACCAAACCTAGGAACATTTTTCCTGCAGACAAAACCACAACGTTGCACAACATCAAATGGCAAACGTAATGAAAGCGGAACGAAACTGCACTATATTGTGCTTAACGGACCATTTATCAGTTCGGACCAGCAACATCTGTGCAGCGCGAGATCAAGCGACACTGTGCTAAGAGATCCAGTGAAGAAAACAGTTGAATTCGCCACTGAAGTAGCTAATAACATCGCTGCGAGATCTAGTGAGAAGCATTCACATTTGTCCGTTATTAACCGTAGATCTCTATTAGATCAAACAGCGCTGACGTGGGAACCAGGAGAAACATTGTGCCGTGAATGAACATGGATTTAATGTTGCACTTCAAAACTCAAATATTATATAAATATATATTTAAATGTTATTTTTAATGTGATTACCAAAACATTATTTGTTCATCCTTCAAAGATTACCCCCATTTATAAACCTGAAAGTTTCAAGATGTAGGAAAACTCAAACTTATTTAAAAATATTTTTTCTTTTAGTAAATAGGAAATTTCTCTGGCATTTCTTTCTTTTTGCTGTATCGTATCGAACCGAACCGCAAATTTTGTGAACTGTTACACCCCTAATGTAGCCTATATTCTCTTTTTTTTTTTTATATATACACTTTTAAAACACTTTGTTTTTTGTTTACATGACTGCCGGGTATTTTAAGTTGAGGTGCTATTTGTTTTTATATTAGACTTTTTCTATATTTACTGTTGCACTAAAGTCCAAAAGTGAAGATTTTATGTTATTTATTACTTGATTGTTCAAGCTACCTCACAGAAGTGCTCTGTTTGTTGAATGTTAAAATAAGGTGAATTAATGGAAAAATAAGGAACATCCTGGATCTGTTTTTTCGCTCTTCTTTATTCCTTTTTATGTATTATATAAGTATCAGATCGGGACTCGGTATCGATAGATACTCAAAATCAAATGACTCGGACTCGAGGGCAAAAAAACCTGATCGGGTCATCCCTAATTCAAATTGTAATTTAATTAATTACACAATGTGGCAATTAATTAATCGATCGTCAAATTTGGCTGACCAAAAGATAAATTAAGGTCGTTATTGTGTTAAATGAGAAAAGCATCAAATAGACATTACAAAAGTAGCTTTAGAAAAGAAAATATTTTATTGATTCAGCAGATTTTATTACACACAAACTTAGATGACATGCGTAGGTCTGGGGCGGTAGATGCGTTAATCATTTTAACGTTATTTTTTCCCATAACTAACTTAACCCATTAAATTAACAGCCCTAAAAATAATTATTATTGCTATTACCCTTTTAAAATCGGCATGAAACGGAAGTTGCAATAGTCTTTTCTATTGTGATGTATATCCGAGTAAAACAGCTTCTGGAATGAGGAAAAAAATGTAAAGTGCAAGTTTGCAGTCAGTTGTGGATGATGTTTAGTCCCACTCTCCTCCGAGACACGTCATAAAAAGAACACGGCATATAATAATGATGTGCATGGATAAATAATTTATAATAAGCTCTGCAACATTCTGTAAAAAAAATAAGATGATCAGCGCTGTTCCTCAGTTTGACCAATCATCTCTTGACTAGTACCTGTGAATGTCATGCAAATTAAGCCCCTTTTACACAGCGCTTTGATCCCGGCAAATTGCCAGAGTGCCTTCTGTGTGAACGCAAACACGACCCGGGATTGATAGAGGCTTTAGAGTGTTGACATTTATTTATTGAAGAGGAATAACCCCTTGAGATGAACCATTTCGTTTTCGAGGGGGTCCTCAAATCCAGATACAGAAATTAACATTGACCTTACAACAGCAGTCAAATAAAACAAAAAGCAAAAAACACATACACATGCCAAAAAAAGAGAAAGCTTACTTTACAATAATGGTGAATAAAGAAATATATGGACAAAACTCATACAAACAAGACATTCACTCATAGACTCTCCAAAGGTAGAGCACTCATCCCTAAACAAAGTTAACACATAAATATGTACCAAAAACACACATCTAGACACCAGTAAGCACATATTCATACAAAAAATGTAAAAGATGTAGAAAAGATTGATGCACCATGTCTAGAATATATTTCAATTAATCCAGTTTAATGGTATCAACCCTATCAATGAGTGCAGTAGTAGAGTCTGATGGTTTTGATTGGTTGTTTCTGTTCAGGTATGAGTGCTACAGCACGCAAGCGCAAGGAGGAAGTGGCTCAGGCCCTGAAGAAGCTCATCCAATCAAAGGGCAAAACACCAGCTATGAAGTACCAACAGTTGTTTGACGATCTCCGTGGCCAGTCAGAAGCGGTATGCTTTTTTAAATTATTATTTTAATAATACTATAAAATAATCCAACTATAAATCTTAACTTAAAATGTTTTCCTCCAATTTCAGGCCATTACTAAGGACATGTTTGATGAGGCCCTCAGAGCACTTGCTGATGAAGATTATCTGACCGTCACAGGAAAGACTGTTCGGCTTCTGTGATCGCTTACTATGCCTGGCTGCTGCTTCCTCTTTTGTTACTTGCTTTATCCTATTTTCTTTTTCTATAGAGCAATTGTTGTTAATAGTCATATGTATGGAGCCTTTCTGGATGCAATAAATGAGTTGTGTTGTTCAAGAGAAGATTTTTGTAAATCGTGTGATTTATAGCTGTTATTTGCATAAACATGCAAAGCATCAATGCACTGACCTAAATCAGTCGCATTGACTTTAGTTTCCATTGGTGTTTGTAAAGTTAAAACCTCAAAGAATGGCTTAAACAAGGTGCAAAACCTAAACAGCTTACAGTGTATAGTGAGACAAATAGACATTTAAAACACTTTTTAACTATTGTCTCACACAGGAAGTCAAGCATTGAATAGTTTTCATGAGTTATCAAATATAGCTGGATTATTTATACAATGGCAATAAAATTAACCGGATGCCTAGCAGGATGGAAATAAATGGTGTCAACTTGGTTAATTTAACCATCTTATGAAATGTGTACACTTAGTATTTGAGACTGAGATAAATTACCACGCTACCAATTAAAAAAAATTCTCCACCTACAATATGCTAAAAGACATAATAGTTAAATGAATTAAACTTAATTCAAATGGCCTTACATGTTACACTGTGATATAATGCTGTAGTCTAGTGTCATATAAATTATATATTTAAAAAAATCTTTGCAGTGGAGCCACACCCCTCTCCTCTTACTAACTACAGCACTGCGCGCATTAGTCACATGACCCATCGACGTCACGCCTTCGTATGCTTTTGGATTCGGGCAGAAGAAGATGGCGGCCTCCTCAGGTTAGTCTCACAATCTCCTCAATCCTCGCTGTCCTCCGCGGCCGTTTTTTAAAACCTGAAGCGCCAAGCACATGCTTCACAATCTCATATGCATTATCCGAGAGGTTTACCGTGCTCGAATGCCTTTATTTACTTCACTTAACAGACCTGTGTGCAGTTTGAACTATTTGTGTGTGTGTTAGCATCGAGCTAACGGCCCACAAACAGACCTGTAGTTTAAAAATAATATCAGATTTATTTTATATGATCAGCTAATGAATAATATAGGCACACATCGAGAATAATTGTGCATTTATATGGTGCCGAAGCATTGACAAAATGCTGTATGTTGCAGTTGGGCGGGTGTATCGGTGCAAATGTGAGGCGAGGCGGAGCATTGACGCGCGTGCTGCTGCTGGTTCCGTCCAGTGCCGTGACAAACGGGCCTTTAACTGATGTTTATGTGTCAAACCAGAACCTGAGCAGGTTAAAACAGCCTCAAATAGTCATTTAAACCTTTTAAAGATAATACGTTTATGTAAAAGTGCGTAATGATTGTGTAATATATATATAAATAACACTCATTTATACTCTCGTGTAAAGCCATTTCATAATAATATACATGACGTTTAGAGTTTATGAGGGGGTGATTTATACAGAGGAGATCTTTATAAAGGAGACCTTTAAACCCATTAAATCTCAGATAATTTGAGAAATTCATTATAATTGTTTACTATTGTATGTAGCTGCAAATCTGAGCAGATCTCATTTATTAATATCAAATGACATTTTTAGGGTTTATATGTAAAGAACAGCACATCTTAAACATCTAGCTATTTTAAACGTTGACTTAGATCTTTAGATAAGATTGCATTGCATTTGCACAAGCTAGTTTGCACACAGTTGTACATCTTGACACAGAATAAGATGCATGTAAATGAAGTTTAAAATGTGTATGTTCACATATTTTAAGGTCAGAGGCATCAGCCGATCTTTTTTCAGAAATATATTGAGTTAATCAGTCTCGTCTTGGCCATGAGATTTTGAGGAAGTGAGAAAACTTGATAGAGAATGGCTGTCATTTCCTGAATCTTTCACGGATGAGTGATTAGTCGTTTCTTTAGACTCCCACCCGAATTTGCAAATCTCGTACCTCCACTTTAAGTCAACCCTAGAGTATCTATGAAAACACTAGATTGCTAATCAGTGTTGAAATGCACAGTTTATTAACATGTCATATTTGAAACTGCACAGATTTTGTGTGACATGCACTTAAACATGCTTAGTTACATTATTATTTTTTTCTCTGGCTGATCAGACCGTTCAGTTCTATTCTGTTTATGAAAATTGAAGTCAGTGAGATCCCTCATACCGTCATTGTTTTGTTCGGAAAAGAATTTAAATAAATTGTTTTCCCAGCCAGTGCATCAAATACACATCAAATGTACCTCAAATAAGAGGTTTTGCTCATCCACGAATAAAACATATGTTGATTTCATATTAAATGAAAACGCAACTGTCTGAAATGTTTATAAAAATATCCAAAAACTGTGAAATTAAAGTAAAGATTCACCTTACTATCCCGCCCCGTTCAATTCTGTTTTTACTTTTTACATAAAGAATTTTATAATTGAGATATCTCTCGGTTAATACGAGCTCTTAAAAACTACATGTGTAATTATAATACATTTTTTCAACTTTTGTATACTACATCTAAAATATTTTAAACATGTCAAATCTCGTTCTTGCAGGAGTTAAAGTCCCTCGCAATTTTCGTTTGTTGGAAGAGCTTGAGGAAGGACAGAAGGGTGTCGGTGATGGGACAGTGAGCTGGGGTCTGGAGGATGATGAGGATATGACTCTCACGCGGTGGACGGGCATGATCATCGGACCTGCACGAGTATGTTTGCTGTTTAACCATGTTAAATGACAACAATACGGATGACTCATCTGACAAAATGATAACATTCCTCAAATGTTGTGTTGAGATATCTCTCGTTTCAGGCTTCTTCTTTTTTTTTGCGTTTCCGCTGTCAAACTTTTTTATAGCGTGCAGGGCCTGAATTTCGTTTTGGAAAATGAGATGATTCTCATGGGGGGGGGGGGGGGGGGGGTTTGTTTGAGGGGGAGAAGGGGGGGGTTTGTGCTCGTTGCATTTTTACAATGGGGTAATATTGTTGTTAGGAATATACACAACACAAGGAAGCTTGATTTAAATTGTTTAATTAAATTGAAAAAAGTAGCACAAATAAATACAATAGAATAAAGATACAAATAAAGGCAAATAAAGAGAAAAGTTTTTGAATAGGTCTAACACTATAGTATTCATATACAGAAACTGAATAAAGTAAATGGAAAATAACACTGGGTGGTATTTTAGTCCTGAATAAATTAAATACATAGGCTATTAATCCTGATTCCTTTAACTTAAAGCTATCTTTTGTTGTATTGACAACAAAATTAATGACAGACACATATGGCTGCCGTCACTTTAAGAGCTAGTGCACGGATCCTGTGTTCATTATACTGGCATGCGTTTTATGCTTATTAAAGACAAAACCGACTATGTTTAGAGTATACTCACGAAGACCGAAATTGACACAATTTTGCGTGTTAAAGCAATATAATCCGCGAAAAATAACTTTTGTTACTGGCCAGCTGTTCTTGAGGCGGATTTTCTATGAATGTGCGCATAGAAAATCATCTCAGAGAGCGTGTGAGCACTGATTAGTTTAAAATCGCTTGAATGTTTAAACTGGTTAGACTTAGGGTGCTTTCACACCTGGATCGATTGGAGACGTTGTTCCGAAACAAAGGGGCGTTTCGCTTTTGGCCCGGTTCGTTTGGTCATATGTGAACACAACAATCGCACTCTGAATCGGAACAAAACAACCGAGCCGAGACCGCCTAGAAGAGGTGGTCTCGGCTCGATTCCATACGAACCCTGGAGCGGTTCGTTTGTAGTGAGAACACAACCGACCCACGAACCGGAACAAATCAATGTGTTGCCTGGCAAACAGACGCCAATAGATCGCTTGTCAACATGGAGCTTCGGCAGCGTATTTTGCTGATTTGTTGCGGTATGTTGTTGTGGTTAAGGTGGTCTCGTACCTTATGTAGCTAACTTACTGCTGTCCGAGTTTTTTCGCCTTTGCGCGGCACTGCTCGACGGACCGTTCATAACCCCTCTCCTTCATTTTATAGCTGATCTTCTTGTACACTTCGGTGTTCTTGTGTGTAGTGTCCAACATCCGGGAGATGTGTTCTTCCGACCAAATATCTATGAGGCATTTCACCTCTTCGTAGCACCAAGTCAACCCGCGATTCAATGCGTTGGTGGAAAGGGGGTATTAGTTAGGCTACTGTTGTCATGGCGATGTCCCACAATGGAATGCGCGACCTGCACGCATGAGGTAGTGACGTAATGGCGTAAGGAAAGCCCTGGAAGGGTGCGCGATTTGGAGCGCTTTACAACAGTGTGGTGTGAACAGAGTGACGTATTAAATTGATTCGGAACAAAGTATTCTGTTTCGGATCTGTTCCGGAACAAAACAAATCGATCCAGGTGTGAAAGCACCCTTAAAAAGACGTGCAAATGGTAAACTTCAGTCATGATGCACTGCTGGCCCGATTGTGCAAGTGAATATTCCGTCATGTCCCGACTCCTAAACGCGAGTGTGTATTATCGCCGCAGCGCTTAATGCTTGCCTTGCACAACACATTTTGAGAGAAGAGAGAGAAGACGCGGCACCGCTGAACACTCACGCTGTTTGTGAAATTGCGTCTGGCAGATAGTTGTTAAAAGAATTATTTGATTTTATCAATTATTATTTATTTTGTGTGGATTACGATTGCGGGAATTTCCCGCATTATAAATAGGAGACCTGCGGGAATGATTAGAATTATGCGCAATACCCGCAATCCCGCGCCGAAATTCGAGCCCTGGCGTGACTGAAATCTTGGACACTAGTAAACAGCATTCCTTCATACAATCCAGCCTGACGCATGACAGCTGGTGGTGTAGATTAAAGATAAAGATGCATGCCATGAAAAGCAGTACTGCAGCAGAAACCTTCTTTAGTGGTTTATGTATTTGTTCAAACTGGCAACATTATTTATTGGGCTGCAAATGTGTCCCGCTTCTGGCTATGTGGTATACTGTGATTTTGTTTCATTTGCTTAATGGCTGAATGAAACCTGCCATGAAACCTGTCTAGGTCACATTTCACTCGAAAATTATAGAAAATATACATTTTGCATAATGATAATAAATCATATGTTAGCGCCATTTGCAATGACATTACTTTCATGACAATTTAGCACTTTTGTTATAAATTAAATTTATGCTGATTTTAATCAAATACATTTTTTCAGTCTACAGTAACGAGAATTATGCTGAATTGTTATGAAAATAATGTCACTGTGCAAATAACCTTAATTAATATTAGTGTTGATTTTGAGGTGGAATATGAACTACACATTTCTTCATGAGATTCTCCATAATAATAGTGTTATTAAACAAAGTAAGATAATTGTAAAACTGAAAAGAAAGAAAAAGACATATAGCCTGGTATTTTGCTAAACAGAATTGGTTCAGATTTCTTTTGCATTAAAACTATTCAGCTAGCACGAAAATACAAGGTCATTTTGAGTGGATAAAATTGGTAAATAAGTTAAGTGAGATGTGTTTCCATCTGTAGTCCATCATCGTGTGCTGCTATCGTATAGAATACTGAAAAACATTATTTCAGCATGTGAAGTGTGATATTTTTTTCGAGTTGTGTAGGTCTATTCTCTTTGATGAGTTGATGTGTTTGTTATCCTCTCACTTTCATGTTCCATTTGGCATTTCGGCTTTAACCTTTGACTTTTTCCTCATTTCTCAGACTAATTACGAAAACAGGATATACAGCCTGAAAGTGGAGTGCGGACCTAAATATCCCGAATTACCACCGAATATTAGATTTGTTACAAAAATTAGCATGAATGGAATAAATAATTCCAATGGGATGGTAAGTTGAATCATTTTTATAACTGACTATTTTGAGTGTTATTTTACCAGCGTATTGTCTGTTATGTTTGTGATCATTTTACTGCAAACTAGAGAATTGTGACGTTGCAGTTATTTTCATACTGATGCAGAAAAGAGTCACTCGAGTCACATCAGTACTGCAGAGGAGGGACGTTTTTCACTTTGCCTGCCTAAGCAGAACCAATAATGAATCTCAAACATGTCTAATGAGATTCAGCTGGAGACAGAATACAAAAGGAGCCGCAGTAAATTAAACGGTTTATTACACCACAGAGGATTGATATATATTTGTAATTCTCTTCTGTGTGTTTTTCTTAGTGATCGGTCCAAATATGCGATAGTCTGTTGGATATAGAATCAAGATCTTTGTGCTGTTTGCCTAGTGGAAGTATATTGGTTTAAGATGAACTAAATCCCTGACCAAAATGCTGTAATTTTGCAAGCTAATTTGTTGAAACAAATTGAGGGGAATAGGGTCAGCTCTGTCACGTTTATATTAAATATACCTCTAGGCAAGTAAAAATAAAAGTAAAACAAACACATACAGCTTAATTATATAAGGATGCCTGTTTTCAACTGAAATGAGAAGGAAGACTTTATCCTCTAAAAATCTTTTCAAACTGAAGATTTCACCCTTTGGACAAAGTTTCTTGTTTTCTGTTGCTAGATTAAGGGGGCGTTTCATCCAGTGACACATCTTACTCTAGACTTTATAGTCATGATAAAACTCAATCATCTGGCACATCAGGAGATTTAGGCCTGTTTGATCATTGTTTATTGGGCAGTTTGATTAGCGTCACTCCGATCCCTTAAGTGGAAACAGGGTTCCTACGCTGTTTGGAAAAGTAATGGAATTTGATTTGAGTAATTTCCAGGTCTGGATAAATATGGAAAAAATAAAGGTTTCTGCAATTAAGAATTTTTAGAAATTAAGTTAAAAATACATTAATGGCAAAAGTGTAGTGATCATTTAGGGCATAGGTCGGCAACCCGCGGCTCTAGAGGCCGCCCTAGTGGCTCCCTGGAGCTTTTTCAAAAATTTGAAAATGGAAAAAATATTTTTTGTTTTATAATTTCTGTAGGATGAAAAACATGACAAACATTCTTAAAGTTTTTCAACGTTGAAAAAATGTGTATAATAAATATTTAATTTCAACATTTCTGTCAACGAAGAATTTACGTCATAGACTGTGACACACGTGTCTGTCAGATCGGCGTGATGCTAGACCGGTGGCTGACAAACAAACAAACAAACCGGCGGGTGTGTCATGGGCCATGGATCCCAAGGGGAAAAAGAGAAAGATAGCTGAGCACTCCCAACGCACTCTAGTGCGGCGTGGGACTAGATTTGATGGCCGAGCGCGGGCGCGTGCGGTAATGCACTCACTCTACTAAAACAAAATAGAAACGATTTACAGGCCAGAATTTCTATTCATAACATATTTGAGCGATGAGCGATATAGTCAATCACAGACATATGTGTTGATTTCTTGAACACAATGGCCAATCAGAAACATTTAAGATAGACTCCCCTCACGCTCAAAACTGACTTTTTTGTTCAGTGCTGAATTCTGTATGCTGGCAAATCCTCCAATTATAACAAACAACGTGTGGATATTATGAAAGATTCATTGTGCAGTCAGCTTAATTGATAATAACAGAGATGTGTGAGATCGCGATGAACTGTCAGCTTTTTAGGAATTATTAAGAGAGCGCACTTTGCGCGCATTCAGTCCATGCACACATAGTAAACTGCTTGCTTTTATGTTAAATTAACAGTGGTTTGTGTTTTAATGCTTTAATAACAAATAATTTATCAGGAGGATGTATGGTGGCGACACGTAGGCTAACTTGAAAGTATTTGGAGGTACAGAAAAAAGTCTATTTGCGGGCGGGAGCGGGACAAAACATAAATGTTGCGGGCGGGAGAAAGAAAGTTCAGAACGTCAGTTATAACGACCCACGCATTAAAAAATGGTCGGGTTAAAATCGGGTTCGGGCTCATTATTACGTTTAATGTGTCGGGCCGGGCTTGATTTTTTGGGCCCGATCTAAGCTCTAATTTGTAGCCTACTTATCATTTTGATACTAGAAGTCTAATATAACACTTACAGCATGTGTTGCCTTTATTATAAGGCTTATATAAAGCTTTTAATTTTTTGCGGCTCCAGACAGATTTTTTTTTTTTTTTTTTTTGGTCCAATATGGCTCTTTCAACCTTTTGGGTTGCCGACCCCTGATTTAGGGATTGTCAAACATGACTGAATGAATTCAAGGCGCACATTTTCCTTTCCCAAAACTGTCTTTTTCGTAAGTGAGTCTCTTTTGAACTTCACTCAGGCTGTTTGGTGATCACGCCACATCAAACCACATTTACAGTATCAAACCGATGTGTCAGATGTGAATATATGCCATTTATAAAGTGTTTTAGGCTTCTTGTCATCATATAAGAGCATGTTATCACTTTGAGACAACCAATAAAAAAACAGAGTAAATTAAAATATTTACAGATCAACTGTACTATATACCAAATATAATGCTGTAAGAACCGTTTGTTAAATATGGTCTGAAGAATCTACAGAGAGGTTTGGAAATTTGAGCCTTTTGAAATGGAAAATGTGTAAGATCCCTGTAAATAGGAACAGTTTTTTTTTTTTTTTTTTTGCATGTCATTACAATGACTTCAACCACTTTGCTTTTCTAGTGTAAGCTGTTACTGTTTTTTTTTTTCCTTTTTAGCTTGTTGGTAAAATTTCCTTTCAAGAAAATCTCATCTAAGACCATTGACAAGTTCCGGGTTGGAGTTGAGCTGTATCGATTGCATTTGTGGCATATTTTGATTATCACCGACAATAGTTTAGTCTCATCCTTCAGTTTTTTTTATGCAAATATCACACTTGCAGTAACCCTACCAATATAAGTTAACCAGGTTATTCTGAAAATATAATAATGAGTTTCCTACCAACAAGTACAATGTTTAAATCTTGTGGCTTTTAAAACTGCGTATTTTATTCAATGTTTACCTTCCGACTCGTGTATTTTTATTGTGGGTTAAAATAAGATACACTTACTTTACTATATATAAAATAAAATACTTTTTTATAACTGAGAAACAAATTGAAATTGTCACAAATGCTGTTGACAGATTTTAACTTGTATTAAACCCAAAAAAAACATTTCTTTAATAAATCCTGTTTATTCTTTATTAATTTTGTGACATGATTTGTGCAATGCAAATTGACTTGCAGCATTCTGTTGTAATAATAATAATAATTCATTACATGATTTAAGATACAAGCGCTATATAAAAATGTAACTAATTTCTGCATGTCCCTTTCTTTCTGTCTGTTTTTGTTTCAGGTGGATGCACGTAGCATACCAATTCTAGCAAAATGGCAAAACTCATATAGCATTAAAGTCGTTCTTCAAGAGCTGAGGCGTCTTATGATGTCCAAAGAGAATATGAAGCTTCCTCAACCACCGGAAGGACAGACGTACAGCAATTAATTGTAAATGATTGTTATGACCCTCTGTCTTAAACCTTACTCTCTTAGAAATGTCTTGTAAATCATCAGAAAAAGAAAAAACAAAACTATTGCTCACTCCACACTCAAACAGTCTCCGCTGCAGGAGCACAATTGGACATTTCTAATAGTTTAGCTTGAGAAGCAAAGAAAGGAAAATGCTTATATTGTGTGGCACCATGTTCAGTTCTGTTTTGAAATCAAGAGTGCACAAATCTCTCTCTTCCAGTTACATTTACATCGACCACAAGCTTTGTTGATGAGCTGAATCCTGTCAGCATACACGCAGAAAGAAGGCATGCTAGGTGAGGTTTATACAGATCTGTTCATTTTAAGTTAAAGTAATGGGACACCAAAACTAAAAAAAATTAGGATGCATAAACAATGGCATGCTTATTAAAAAAAAAAAAGGGAAAAAAAGAAACATAAAAAAGCAGTTGAGTAAGTTGTATGTTAACGTTTAAAGAACTTTTTTTGTGTGTGTATCTGAACCCCTCACTCACAATAACGTTAAGGGTCCTAAAAGTGTGCCTGTAGTCTTCTAGTAGACTTTCTCTTCTGTTCGGTTTTTATTTTTAATGTCTGTATTTGACACAATCGCAATTTGTTTCAGCGTGTTGTAAACGGATGCTCTGTTCTGTTCTGAAATCAAGCCGTGCGCAAGGATCTGTCGGGTGCATTAAAATGTGACTCTCCAACCCGCTGTCAGACTCTGTTTGTACACGAGTCACTCACACGCTGCAGAAATACGCTGAGATGTTACTGTACGAATAAAGCAGCAAACCCTTGCCATTCAGGGACGGGATACGGAGAGTGTCCGACTCGCTGTTTTGCATCGTTTGAATGACACAGCCTTATTTTTACAGTGATAGATTAATTTTATACATCAAACCTAGCAGTACGCGCATATCACTGCAAGGTAACTAAACATAAGTGTGTGTTGCGGTACATCACATTTGAATTGCTCATCACAAGTTTATCTGATGCGTTTGAACGTTTTACACACTTCGTGAGGTGACGTACTGTGAAAATCATTTACAAGTGAGTTTGAGGTAGGGTGTTTTCATTAGGAATCGCTGATTGTGTTAATAAGATTTGCTGTACGCTTGCCCTTGCTTAACCACAGTGCTTTACGACTCCACCTGTAACTGCAACGGCATGCTGTTATGTAGCTTTCATTACAACACCAACTAGTACTTCAGTAATTATAACGTTAGAAGCACTGTTATAATCCTTAGGTACTCTAACAAAGTTAATCATTGACTTAAAATGTAATTCCAGTGAATGGTCGGGGTTTGTTGTGCTGTTGTTCATTTATGCTTCGGTTGGCTATGACCTTTTTATTAAAGTCTTCATTAGCAAAAACTAATAGGCAGTTATCGTGCAAATTAATATATGTAGTGGCAGTTTTCTTACGGTCTCTACATTTTCAGAGCCACAAATGAAATCACCCTGTAATGCATCTAAGGAACATTTTTTTTCTCCTCCCTGTTCATGTTTTTCTTTCTTTCTTTCTTTTTTTTTAAAGACGTATAATCAAATTAAGTTGAATTATGTGACACCGGGGCTATGTTCAGAATAATAAAACAAACGTTGTGGAACACACTCGGTTCTTACTCTGGTCATTTTTTGGAGGATGTCGTGTTGAAGTATTTGTGGAATTAATATTAAAAAGATGAGTTTAAATAATTGTTTTATTTACAACACAACATTTAGCTTGTGATTCACAGGTTCCAAAAGGGGGTTTTCACAGAGATGCTATGGAAGAACTTTTCTGGGTTCCCCAAAAAAACCTTTAAGTCAGGGATGGGCAACATCGGTCCTGGAGGGCCACTGTCCTACAGAGTTTAGCTCCAACCCTGACAAAAATCACCTGCCTGTAACTTTCTAGTAATCCTGAAGACCTTGATTAGCTTGTTCAGGTGTGTTTGATTAGGGTTGAAGCTAAACTCTGTAGGACAATGGCCCTCCAGGACTGAAGTTGCCCATCCCTGCTTTAAGTAGTGTGAAGACCATTTTACTGCTGGGGCAGTACCCTCAAAAGTACTCCTTATCTAGCCCTACTAGTAGGCTATGCACTTTTGCCCCCGGTTTCACAGACAAGCTGTTTTAACTGAAAGCAACTTGCACTGAAATATCTTCAAATTTGTCAGTGCCATTGTTTTGTCTCAAGCACACCACTGATCTTTTTTCCTAATTGAACTAAGGCCTAATCCTGGCTTTATCTAAGCCCTGTCTGAGAAACCAGGCCTTTTCTTTTTCTATTTTTTTTTTTTGCACGGTTTTCTTTCAGTTTATATAAATGTACTTTTGTTTGCTTGTTAGATGTAGTTGACTACTTGTGGCACTTATTTGTGATGGATTGACATTATAATGAAAATGTCTTGTTGTTTGAAGTCAACATTAAGAAAGACAACAAAATTGAACCTTTTCTCTTTCTTAATGCATGTTTTTGTAAAATGAACAATTCATTTTTTATTTCAAAAATGATTATTATTTTTTGTAGTCTGAAATTCCTTTTTATCTCATGTCAGCAAGCCCTCTTATATTCACCCACCTTTCATATAGAGACTTTTTATGATCTAATATGGATAAATTCTAGTCCTTTCCTACATACTTTTTCTAGTTGAATATTGCTCAGTGTTTCACTGGGAAGTGCATCACATTGCGTAAGTAAAATGGCTTGAATGTCTTGGCTGGGGCAATATTTCAGTCATTGTATTAAATATGAGAGATTGAAAACTGAATGGTTACATGCCATAGCAATGTTTCTCAATCATTATCCTGCTGTCGAAATAAGTTTTGTCCTTTTGGTTTTAGGTCTAGGTGGTCCATCAGACATGACAGAAGAGAGCTTAAACGATTCTCTTTCCACTAAGGGGTCTTGCTAGTGCCAAGATACCCTGTTCTTCGGATTTAGCTGGATAATGGTTGAATCCAAGTGATTTTAAATACATGTTATTGTGCATTCAGCCTTATGGGAGATTGTAATTCTTGCTCTTCACTTCACAACATCAAGCCACAAGTATTTAGGAACTTAAGCCACATTACAAATGTCATTGCATTAGATAAATTCAGATTGGTTTTATATTATAGACAAACAAACAGCACAAGTCCACATTTCACAAAAAAGTTTGCTAGGTTTGAAATCATAAAAAGTGTTTAGACACTTTCTGTTTGTCAAAAGTGACTACTTGAATTGCAAAAGCAAAATGTCCCAGAAAAGGGAATTTATATCTGTGAAAAGCTCCTGCTGCGTTTGAGGACAAATGTCACTTGGTTTGATATGTTTGCTATCCATTGCACTGACATTTTTTTTCTCCCTAGATACTTCTAAATTTGATTTAAGCATCCAAATACGTTTTGGTCTCGCTGTGGTTGATAAGGAATGTCTGATGAAGGCTATTATAGATATGTGAGTGTGACCTCAGGACAGAATGACATCTAGAGAGAGAGTGTAAAGTAATGCCTGAGCAAAATCAGCCCATCTATTTCTGATCTGAATGATGACTTTAGTGAAGTATCATGCTGCAGGAATGCTGCCAGTGCATTTTAATCTTGAAGAGTTGTATTGATCTGTCTTTCAAGAGAAATATGTTTGTGTTCTTTGATCTGTTCCTGCATTAACCAAGGTTGACACACCGTCACATCATACCCTTCCTCAATGCTAAACCCTGCAGGAATTATAATGATCAAACCTGAGCTTTTACTTGTCATTTTAAGTGTGTCACTAGGAGGCGCTATATGCTCAGCCATGAGGTTCATTCATCCCTTGCAAATTCACAGGGACCTTCTCAGAAGATCCTCTGTCTGCGTGCAATATCGGCTGTAATCACTAGAGCGCACTGCGTTGACTCTGCATCCGTAACCCAGTGCTGCAGCAATGCATTATTTTTATGTTTCCAAAAACGACATGCTTTAATGACCTTGCCAAAGGGAAAGCCATTGACGGAGCGGGAACCAGAGCAGTCGTCTCTTGGCCGTGTTATGGTGTCTTTGTGTCTCAGGCTGTGTATAATTGGAGCATTATCCTCGACACTTGTAAGCGGTTTGTCTCTGTCCAAGGGGACCTTTCATCCTGAATTAACCACTTCTGAAAGAGGAAAAGTCCCTTATTAAAGAAAGAACCTTATGTGTGTCAGATGTTAACTGAATTGCTTTGTCATTAAGCTTGCAAGGCAAGTGTGACCAACAAGTCATGTGTCTGTATAATTCATTTATATTGGTGCAAGCAATCTTGTCAGCCAGTGTGAAAGACTCTTAAATATAAAAAAAATGGTATTTACATTGTAAATACTTCAAAGATTTTTGTTGTTGGCTAATCATTTTTATGTAGTCTTCATTGGTACTTCCATGAGTTTTGAGCATGTATCGCATGATTGCATTATATAGTTGTTGCCTTACATTATTGCATTAATGCACATTAAAATTGTTTTCAAGAAACTATTTTCTTATACAATGTTGTCCAAATATCTCAGCCCACTATATTGAAAATCTTCTACTTTTTTATTATTATTTAATTAACATTTATCGGCATTAACTTTTCTGTCCAAACCAAATCTTGACTATTGGATGCCACTATATATTCATATCTGAATATGCATGAACTACATATGTTTTTAATGGCTTAATGAAAGTTGTTGTTCAGTGCCAAACCGACAGCAAGAGAACTTGCACAGTATCAAAAGTTTGCACAGACTTAGTTGCTCATATGCATGAGGTCTTTCCCGAGTGTGAGAACCTCTGTCAGATTGAAATCATGTGTTGCTGTTGTAATCTCCCCCCGTCGCCTGTTCTCACTCTCCACTGATGAGATGCAATTGTAAATATCTGCTGGAGACAGTCTGATGTGTGTTTACTCGATGCTCTGCAGAGCTGCAAAGTAAACCATGACATCAAATCTGTGACATCACGCTGTAATCAATATGATGCTGCAGGCGTAATGCGTATATAAGAACAATAAAGCACCATGCTGTAAAGTTGCTAGCATTATAATACTGATTGATTAACAAATAATCGATCCTGAAGACGGCTGTGTTAAGCCGAAACTCGTTGATCAATTTTACCCCAGGTTTCACAGACCAGGTTTAAGTCTAGTCTCAGACTAAAATGCATGTTTAAACTGTTTTAACTGAAAGCAACTTGCACTGAAATATCTTAAAACACGTCAGTGCCGTTGTTTTGTCTCAAGATCAACTCTGGTAATGTTTTATTCATAGGCACGTTTATAAAGTCTACTTAAATGTCCTAATATAAAACTTGTCAAACTTTTTTTTATACTAAACATTTTTTTTAATATATATATAATTGACTTTATTATTTGAATTAATTGGTCTGTTAAGCCATGCATGACTTCTTAATACTAAAGTTTGTCTTTGTCAGGAAAGGCAACAAGGCAAAGAAAATATATATTCATGTTGAAGAGAAAGGAGAAGAACAAATAAGCTGTATACGGATCTCATTCCAAGTTATTTATTCAGAGGGCAAAGCCAGCAGACTTTGTGTCTCTGGCTTGTGAGCGCTATTAAATTACCGCTGGATGTTTTTAATTACCGCCCATAAATGGAGCAACACGGCGCACTCGAAACGCTCCAGCCCCTGTCTTCAGTTCTGCAGGGCGGCCTGGTCCCTCCTCGGCCCGGTGGTCTTCCTGTGTGTGTTTGTGTATGTGTGTTTATGTAATGTAAGTGTTAGAAAG